TTTTTATATCGTGGATTCTCTCCAAGCTCGCGACTTATAATTAAGAATGCAAATAGAATGCTGAAATCGATGGGAATCATTAAAACAGTAAAGCTAAAAAATAAACAATAAAAAACACCAATATTTAATTTATTAGTTACAATTAGCGATCTCAAAATATTTTATCTCAAAGAATATTTTATCTCAAAGAATATAACAACCTAACGGGCAAAATCCATTTGGCATCCTTTCCATGAAAAACAATAAATAAAATATCTAATACAAGATCCACCAATATTAGCGTAGACACAAAGATAGCCAAGAAGTTGCGTATTGCAAATTGCCTTTTCATAATTTTTGTATAATATTCCTTTGAAAAATAATAAACATTTTGGCATACAGTGTTAATAAAAAAAACTAACACGTTGATCCATGTTTATAGGCTATCAGGACTGAGAACGATCTATTGAAACAGTGGCCATTACTGCGCCAATATCCATTGTTCAAAGTGTCTTTTTTGATGCTTCAAAATTAGTATTTAAGCTATCGCGAACAACCACTGTAAGTAACAAACTAATGCGAATCAAGATCGATACTCTGCGAATGGCCACTATTCAGCCCTGTAGACTACTCACCTTGTAGTGGCTACGACACGCAAAGTGCCAAAAAAGTAACAATAGCACAAATCCAATGAAAACACCAACAAGGATAAATTTGTATTTGTCCCATAAGTTGGCTGTATATAAAGACATAATTGGTGAATATACAAGAAAGTATGTACAAGAATATATGAATATTACGAATATCATGTGAACTTACGTATTAGCCAAGCACCATTAAACTGATCAATGTAGTTAAAGGTGGTACTTGCGGAAATTGTTGAATTACCCTTGAATGTGATTGTTTCATTTAAGTCACTGGCAAGGCTAGTTGCGCCTCTACCAGATCCTTGGGCAATATTAACGCGCATAAAAATTTGATCATTATTTTCATTACTGTATTGATAACGTGTCGGTATTGTAATACGCGAGAAATCACACTTAATAGCTGTGGCAATATCATTGCTCATGTTTTTAACAAAGTCATATTGATCACTTGATGGTAAATTTACGTAATATGAAGATCCTTCATTGGTTAGACGAATGATAACGTTTGCATCACCTATGTAATTTTATGTTAACGATGATATTTTCCTTTTGTAAAAAAAAAAAAAACAAAACCTCACACCATCCTACTGTCATTACTATATTATATGTTACGATATAGTCCACAATTCAACGTTTAGTCGTGACAGCTCGCAAGGAGATTTGTCTGCTAGACGGTGTAAGAAATAAATGTTTGGAAATTTATGATTACCCATATTGGCAAGAGTCCTAACGGAAAAAAAGGATGTTTCATGATCCGGAAGAATAGGAAGGGTTTTCGAGTTTGATGAGAACCCAAATAAATAGAATTTTAGAATGGCGCAAAACATGTATAATTTTGGGTAACATACCTGACATATATATATATAGCGTAACACTCGTTTGAAATTAGCGCCTGAAAGTACATCTCTTCTAGG